TATCAAATATTAAGTTGAACATTCAGTGTAAGTGGGTGATGCAATCATGTATTGAAAAGGAAAACTTTACTACATTGTAAAAGATACAGCTTAAAACCATTTCCCCCCATGGCTACTTTTCATCTGTTCTTTTAGTTCGTATAAAAAACATTATTATTATACTGATTACAATCACACATTCAAAGCCTTAAGATACTAAATAATGTTTCATTTGATTCTTCATTTTACCTGATATATAAAAAAATATGGCAAATCCGATATGTATGTGAAATTATTTACTTTTAAACATAAAAGTATATATCTGGTATAAGATCATTGGGAAAATAATATATATAGCGTCTATTTATAAATTTATGGAAGTATATGGTTATGACTCTTTGAACAATCGTTTATAATCTAGATAAAAACTTTCAGTATTTCATCTGTTGCATTATAACTGTCATATATGATTGCCAATTTGATGTGTCTAAAAAAAGAAATTGTTTGATTGTCTTTGAAAAAATCAGCAAAATCATTTTGCATTTAATGTACGTATCTGCATTTGAAACTTTCAACAAAAAAAAACTATAACATTCGGGAAAATGATATCTGAAGTTTAAAACAAACACATATCCTTTTGTCTTTGATCTATTGAGTTGATTTAAAAATAAATTTTCTTTACAAAATTAAGCAAACACTGACTTGAACTATACGTCTTTAAAAAAGTCAGCTTACAGATGAATTGTAAATCTTTTATTCGATAACCACTTGATATTCATTGGACTCTTTTTTAAATCAGATTTATTGGACTCAATGGTATATATGAATGGCAAACCTAAAAATGCATTAACCATTAATGAAACAAATCAAGTTCATCTCTCGTGTTTTGTCGATGGAAATCCTACTCCAGAAGTCACCCTCCGCAAACTCACTGGGAACCGTCCCCTTGTACAAATTGTAAATCATTGGTTAAACTACACATTAAACATGGCTCAGTGCTCTGACACAGGTACTTTCGAATGTGTCGGAAAATCCACTGAGTTTGGGATTAGGATTCAGTCCTTCAGTGTTAATGTTCTCTGTACGTATACGTTGTTATAGAATATAGAAGTTTGCTAACACTAATTGCGTATCTATTGTCATTAATACAAACTTTTAATGTTTTTATAGGGTTAATTAATTAGCGACATACTATGATGACATTGTAGGTGAACCTCGCCTTGATGAATTCACTTTAGTGAAAAACATATATGGATCAAAAAGTGGCCCGGATGTTAAAGTTGTTGTGAGTTTACCAGTTGTTGCGAATCCCCTAACATCTACATTAGGGTTTGTTTGGTTAGGACCGACATTTGAGTCTATATCGATTAAAGTCTCACAGAGAAATGACGTTTTCTACAAACATTGGATCAACAGCACCATTCCTGTTCCTGATCGGAGATCTTTCGGAACCTACTCACTGAAATACAAAGGAAAAGTCTTCGCTGATATAACAATTCACGCCGAAGGTTGTATCTTTTTTAAAAGATCTAAACATCTAGATTATAACTTTACAACATTTTCTGTTAAATTTGATTAATAGGTTGTTCTTTTTGCTTTTTGTTGGATTTTTCTTGGAATTTTCATTACTTAACATCAAACAATTGACCATTTATGCGCTTAATAATCGTGTAATGAAGAAAAATCCTTACAATACAATACATTACAATATAATACAAAAAATTTCTTTAGCCCATTATAATATAGACACTCTAGTCGGTTAACATTAAAATATACATAAACATACAAAATGGAGAAAAAACTACAGTAAAACTCGTTTAGTAGGAACACGGATATTCCGAATTCACGGATATAGCGAAGTTTCTTGGAGCCCCAGCTTTATAAATTTAACGAATTCCTTATGCAGATATAACGAATTACGGATATAGCGAAGCAATTTCACAGGTCCCAGTGACTTCGTTATAACCAAGTTTTACTATACTTAAAAAATACATATGCATGTGCTTAAAAAATTTAAGATAACTAAAAGACCTTATATATTAAAAGACCTTAAAATATTGCTAGTGTATTGTACATTGCGCAGAAATCACTAATAAAAAATCACAACTATCGAAACGTTTAAAATTAAAGAACCTGTACTTACTAATGAAACACAAAAAATCCTTAAAGACCTTATAACCAGTTCAGTGTTTTGGTATATTCTAAGTAAATCACTAAAAATACAATATTTATACTCCGTCAAAAGCAATTTCAAACAAGTGAGTTTTAACCTAATTTGTTTACACACTTTATTCTACAACCACGAATGTACCTTTTCCTGATTGACAACATCCACGACTGTGCCTGTTTTGACATCTCTAGAGTTTTACATCCAGGACTGTGATTAAAATCATCCACGACTGTAACTGTCTTTATAAACAAATTATTTTGACGGAACCCTTACATGATTAACAAGATCGACGACTGTACTTGTGCCTGATAAAAACATCCATGACTGTACCTGTCTTGATAACTCCAGATATTTAACATCAATGACTGTACCTGAGTCTGATTAACAATATTCATAACTGTACCTGTCTTGTATACACAAGTTATTAACCATCCATGACTGTACCTGTGCCTGATTAACAACATTCATGACTGTACCTGTCTTGTTAAAAAAACCCGTTATGTTTGCTTAAAGACAGAACCTGTGTCAAATTAACAACATCCACGACTCTACCTGTCCTTAACAACATCCACGACTCTACCTGTCCTTAACAACATCCACGACTCTACCTGTCCTCTATAACAACATCCACGACTCTACCTGTCCTTAACAACATCCACGACTCTACCTGTCCTTTATACAGACTTTATTTTGTATCTCTGACTGAACCCGCGCCTGATGCACAACATCCACGACTGTACCTGTCTTGACAATTCTAGATATTTTACAACCATGACTGTACATGAGGCTTATTGACAACATCCACTACTGTACCTGTTTTGACAATTCTAGATATTTTACAACCATGACTCTACATGAGCCTAATTGACAACATCCACGACTGTACCTGTCTTGACAATTCTAAATATTTTACAACAATGACTCTACATGAGCCTTATTGACAACATCCATGACTGTACCTGTCTTGTATATACAGTTATTCAACATCCACGGCGGTACCTGTCTTGTATATACAGTTATTCAACATCCACGGCTGTACCTGCTCCTTACAGCATCCATGATTGTATTTGCCTGTTTACATATGATAATCTTGATCTATGATTTTACCATTAAATTAAGTACGAGGGTTGTTCGAAAAGTTCGTGGACTGATGCGATAAAATTAATACTATGTAGTCTATGGTTACAAAATTTTTGATGAACATAAAATAACAAAAGTTAAAGAAATGTTGAAAATTTTAGCTTGATACCTTGAATATTTACCAAATTATCATAAAATAAAAAAGCATGATATGATCAACCGGCGCTGTCGCCATTTAGTTTCATGACGTCATTGTTTTTCAATGTCCGCATTCTCTACCTCATATACTTATCTTGATGAGTTTCCTTGGAGTTAAGTAAAGATTTAAACCCGTCTTGTTTATATGATTTTACAATGTCATGAACAGCTGATTTCAATGCATATAATATTGTAAATAGATCTGAAAGATTCTCACTTGATTATAACAGCATACTTGTCGGAGTTCAACATCTATCACACATGATCAACATCACTTTTCGGCGTGACAAACTTTGAACACCCTTACTACAAATCGACATTCACTTTTACATCTCTCTAATCTTTTTCGGCGTTTAAAAACAAGTACTCTGAATGCATTTTATTTTTCAGTAGCCCATTTAAATATTTCCTATGTCTATGCCAGTTTTTCCAGAGGGTGAAACTTTATAGAATATTGGAAAAAGAAACCCACCCCCCTTTCTGACGTCATTACAACCCCATAATTGTTTGGACATTTCATATAAATTTTACGATAAAATTTCATAGAACTTACAGAATGGGGTAAAAATTGCGAATTTTACGGTACAATTGTGTCGTACCACATGAGTGAATTAACGGGATTTTTGAAAGACGAATGTTCATATTAAAAAAAAGAGATTTTTCTAAGTTACATTTACATGATTTAGGTAGAAAAAACGTAATCTTCGAGGTTGCGCCGCCTGGACATACCATTGCTTTCAAAAACATCAACAATTTATTAAAAAATAAAACTAATGGTGTATAATTTATTATATAAATAAGAAAGATGATGCTAATTAAACGTTAAAAAATTCATTGATGTATCTTAAGCGGTTTTAATTTTATGGCGCTAGTCCACGAACTTTCCGAACAACCCTCGTATATTTATTACATGTATATGATTGATACTTAAAAGATTATAATAATAATATTCGACAAAGAACACAAAATTCCCGGAGACACAATGGGAGGGCGGGGTACAAACCAAAGGCCCTCCATGATTCATAGTTTACTATGAAGGCAACAAAACAGGATTATACAGAGTGGTATTGGTAGATCTTGAAGCATGGAGACCCATTGGAGGGCCTTTGGTCCCCCCCCCCCACCCCTTCTCATTGTTATTCCGGGAAATTTGTGTTCTTTTTTTTAATATTATAGTGATTTAAGTATCTATCATATATAAAATATGTAATAAATATACCTAATATGCGAAATAATCTTTAAGGGACATAAACCTCTACTGATTCGATCAATTAATCAATCACGATTTTCACCAGGTAACTGCAAATAAATTCCATGCATATTTAAGTTGCAGAGTTTTCTTTTTATTCTTTATGTCTTAAGGTAAATTTAACTATATCTCCTCGATATGTTCACTAAACCAGTTAGTTACCTTTTGGAGAACACAGTTTTCCTTACAGTAGATTTATTTGAAATCAGAATTTCTTATTTACTTTCTTTTTTTCTTCATATTCTTCATATTTACATAAGAGGTATTTTTCATTCAAAAACAATCCCATCGTTGCACAAAATATACGATCCTCTCACATTCTGACCGTGGTTGAATATTTTGTAGCTCATTAAAATATTGACCAATGCAAGTAAAGCATATTCGGATAATGAACTTTGACGCGACCTTTCAATACCTAATCGCAGTATACGAAACATTCACTGTATACTGTTGATGTCAATTGATGATTTCAATTGCGATGGAAACAAATATTGTCATTGGCTGAACATGATGTCACAATTTAGAGCCGTATACATTCAAGATTACGACACTTATTTGATCAAGCAGCCACTGGTAGGAGAGAGCTATATGCGGACTTCGGACCGTGGCTTGAGACGATGAAACACTCAGGACTTTTCATCATATTTACTGGGTTGAGCAATCGGGAAAATATTGCTCTGACATTCCGTCTTTGACATTAGTGTGCAGGTACAGTCATGAATGAACGGTACCAGCATTGACGAGTATAGTTGGATGCTAGCTGAAAGTCAGTGATGAAATATGACCTTCAAATCTGTGTCCCAGCCCTTTTAGGTTTCTTAAAATATTTTATGTAAATTGGTAAAGTATCTGTCACTCTATAAGGATTACAAAAGTTATCGCTCTTGCTACATCTGCCTAATTTTAACAGCAACTTCATATATAGCCTGTTAAGTTAATGTCGGAAGACGCAACCAATGGAATTGTTTCGCAGAAATATTGTGGGTGAGTCCTCACTTTCTTTTAGGACACCGGTAGCTTGGCACATGGAAAATTTTAAAGCGGTTTTTAATTCTTCTCCACCACTCCACCTTCCCTTATCAAATGTAAAGTCATTTTCAATTTGATTTTTTGCAATTTCAGACCATAATGTCCAGGTGTAGATATTATGTAACCACTCACATCAGTAATTATTGTTATTAGTAATTTGCTTTTGAAATATCAGTTGGGTAAGTAATCATGGGTATGTGGTTAGGTAATAATTGTATGTCAATTTTGTAATAGGATTATTGTTTCAAATAATTTATTGTGATCTACATTATTATACGTAATTTGAGTTAGTGGATAATTCTACAATAAGGACAGAGTGCAATATAACTTTTGTTTCTTTGTTAAGTATTAACATGTACCATATAGAGGTCTCAAGTGGTTTCAGGTCGTTTATGTAAATTGATGGAGGTAAATCATATTTAAAAATATGAATAGTATTACAAAAATATGAATAGCATTATAATATGCGGAGGATCTTTCGGATTCGAACATTATCAATTATTAACTAAGAAATGTAATCATTAGGCTTCCAAGTAATCCCTCCTTTGTACAGAACACTAAAATTCTTTAAATTTAATGAAGAAACCTACGAATAAAAGACACCAAAGCAAAATAAGTTTATAGATGACACAATATTAACAAATCGACGCTTACAACCCAGTAATTTTGATTTCTTGTGGCTATAAAAAATTATAAGTAAAGGATATTACAAACTAGTTAGAACAAAGCAAAATAGTCCTTGGCACTTTGTTATTAGCGTGTTTTACTTATATGTTGAAGAACACTGATCGAAGTTCAGGAAGGCGTACTCAGAAGTGATGTGTGATTGCCCATAAGTTCTAGTTAAGTGTCTCTATCTGTCAATCTCTGATTTTTTAACAACTAATTTCTTTCAACAGTTTTAATGTGATTTCTTTATTCTTTATTATATAGCTCGGTAAGAAATGTGAAAATGAAAATATTTTGTTCTAAATATTTTTACCAAAGTTGCTTAAGATTCCGAATTTCAGCCTCTTCTAAAACAGTAAAGAAACGTTATTAAACATATAAAAAAATCCCGGGCTAACATAGCTAAGAGTGCTGGAGGGCAACAACAACTTAATAAAACATATATAAATAAAACTCTTTTTTTATATCCAGCGTAAAAACGAAAATTTATTTTCTTTTCATCATATATTCCATATAAACGTTTCATAATTTTACGCATAAATACGTCATAGTTGTTCTGGTTTGATATTTTTAATTTTCGAAATGATAACGTTTAATCATTTACGACATGTTATGATAGATGAAGTCAGGAAAATGGCTTTAAATAACATATTCTGACGTATTAATCACATGTCCACTATTGTTTATATTATATGAAAAAAAATGTTAAAAACATCTGTAACGTATTTCAACGCAATTTTATGGTTGTACGAAAACCTGCAGCATATTTTGCGTAATTTTCTCTTTATATATATATTGTTACGCAATACATAAATGTAACATAACTTGACATTTTACACTATATACGACAGTTAAAAGAAGCAGAATAAGGATTAATTTCCATCCCCTCACTCTTTCTTCTTTTTTGATAATAGCCATAGTTATCTGTCACTGATCTTGTTATTCCCACTTAATTTTCTAGGCTAGGTTGGTATTTTTCCGTCTGTCAAAGAATAACAATATTTGTGCATAAGAATTTCAGATTTGTTACACTAGTTTCCGCGTCGACATATTAATTCACTGCAATGATCTTTTGATTTGGTTGTTTATGTACCCAATATGCATGACTATAAGGATCATAAATATCAAATTTTTGAAATGGCACTTATGATCTAAGAATGGTAGTTCATAAATACTTACGCTCATTTTCAATCATATCATACTCAAAGTAATATTTAAATACATTGAATTTGCTTAACGTATCTAACTGTGTTACAAAAAGGATACAGATTTGAAAAAAAGATAAGCATAATTGTAATCAGAAAGTTTTTGTTAATTATAATAGGCAGTTTTTCTAAATATTTGCAAAATATCGAGTTGGAAATTTTTAATCTAATTTTGAAAACATAAAACCATGTCTCTATCTGCACTTTTTATAATCAAATTATAAAATTTATATTGACATCAAATTCTCAGGAAGAAGCATTTGATTTTTTTAAAAATGTTTTCTAAAATTCAGAAGGCATTATTGGAAATTAAGATTTTATGCATAATTTCAAGCCGTTCTACAGTAAAATACCCTTGACTAAATCAACCTAGAATTCTCTATTTCACCTCTGGAATTTCCGACGGTCCCTGTTTCGTACCCTATTCACAGATTCTCATTTCCAGGAAATCGCCCTTGACTTTATGAACCCAGATTTATATCTTGTTCATGACTTTACTGCCATCGAAATAATGTTAATTTAGTCAACGGTTTTGGGGGTTATATCAGCATGAATTGAAATATATTTAACAAAAAATATATTTCACTAATATGACAAATACAATTTTACAGGTGTTAATACAGGTGTAAGTACAGATTCTAGAGAAGCCTCTGCTCGGACGACCTGGATTATAGTTGGAGTCCTCATTGGTTTATCTGTTTTGTTGCTGACGAACTTTGGTGTTTATAAGTTTGCTTCTCATCGAGGTAAATCTTTCTTCTTTTCTTTTCAATAGCTAGTCTTGTTTTAGAAATGCTCTTGCGTATCGAATCAATCGAGTTATAATGCAACAGTTATAAAATGCAATTGATAACATTGATAAGGGTATAAATAAGGGAAGTTGACGATAGAAAAGTTAAAGTCATCACGTAAGTTTAATTGTTATATTACCATTAACGTCTTTTTCTAGAAAAATATCCAAATGTGAAACAAATGTGTCAGACCCTTTGGTATCTTGTATTTTGAGGAATATATGTGTATCAAATCAAAAAGAAAAAAAAAGAAAATTCAAGTGAGCCTGACCTTTGACATTGACATAGTCATGGTTCAAGATCAGAAATAAATTGCATTTAGTACCATGTTTGTATAACTTACGTTTCCAAAGTTCTCTGTCTTAAAAAATAAGGCTAGTTTTCGGATCCTTTTGCACTTAATAGATTGTAAGCTTGAAGTTAGTTTAAGGTCTCTATGCTGTTTGATTTCTGAGTAGCAGCAATAGAAAGGGTTTTCGTGCAATGGGAATTCACTGCAAAATAGGTGAGAATTGTGAGCTTTGAAATGCTTGTAGAATTTGAAATTATTTTAAAAGATCATTTGAAAGAAACAACTAGCTAAAACATTTGGCAAAAAGTGAAAGAAATGAAAAAGAAAAAAAAGTATAAAATTATTTTCAATGTCAAAGGTTGAATTCTCTATTACAATTGGTTCTATGTCTCTGACTTCACTGAAGTAACAAATCTTTACAGAGATAATAATTTCCGAAAAAGGGTCTTTTAGCCTTAATATAAAAAGTCTTCTAATATCAGATACATTGATGAAGGGGTGTTTTCTCTGACGGGTAACGTTTCAGAAGAGTAGCGATGAGAAGATTTAATTATCGCTGCAAGGAGGAATCCCATCATGATGGGTCAAAATTCAAAATACGCTAGTTAATTGCAAAATTCTTTCAAGTGGTCCAGTATCATGAACGCTTAATCTTTGGAAACAAAATAATCACAGCAGAAAAAAAGATAAACAGAATAATTTTAAGAAAGCTTTCCATAGATAGGTTTAAAGACCTAATAAACAGTCAATTGTACATAAATTGAAAATACCTAATTAGTATATGCACATTAACTGAGATTTAAATGCTTTAAACGAATCCTTTGAAACAACCAGTCCTGAAAAATTGTACCCTAGTTGTGTCATAGAAAAAAGTTTGTTATAAAGAAGAATATATACTGTGAAATTGTTACATCTCCTTCAAAATAACTATAAAAATCTTGAGGTTCATGAGTTTATTCAGAATGGCAAGTCATAGAACTGGTCTTAATTCACTTTATTTTCCACTGATATATTTTTTATCAACACTTCTGTTAAGAAGAATATTCACATCACATATTTTTCTTATTTCAAAGGAATTAAAACAGACTCGATTCAACCACCTCAGCCATCTCACGATCTAAAAATCACGAATAAAGAATATGACGACGTTGATGACGTCACTGTAGAAGCACATGATCAGAATCCTTCTTCTCCGACATACGAAGACGTAACGGAGAACACTGAACAAATACAATCACCGACAGATTATCAGAATATCAGTGGACATCAAGATAATCAATATCAAGAGCTGAAGCCTGATCAAAATAGACTCTACTCGTCTCTTAAGCTTCATTGAATCGCTAAATAGACAGGCAACTCTTCCTGGTATTAATGACTATCATTTTCTAAAAAAATATTAGCAAGTTTACATATGATTTTTATCAAAGTTACATAATGAGTCAAAATCATGTGTTTATTTTAAGTAAGTTGTATCACAAAACAAAAAAATTATGGGAAATATGAATATAGCGTTTTGGCATTTCAACTGCACTGTAAAGCAAGAAAAAAGCTGCAAAATATAAGTGCCGGAAAAAACAAATGTATCTATCGCTTTGTTTTTATCGTCAATGTCCACAATGACAAAGTCACGCGTCCTTTATTTTTAGCGTGAAACTTGTAAACAACATTCAACTGGAGCAAGCAGAAGTGAGAAATAAGTTCTGATCACCTTTTTGATGATTGTATAAAAATTCTTGGTCATCTGACATTCTTATCTATGGAATTGAAACCATGGTAAATTCTTCAAATTTAAGCAAATGCGTAAAATAAAGAGGAAGAAGTGAAGCAATACTTTTGTGTTGGGTTAATTTTTCTCCATTAAAGTAGATTTTTTAGGTTTTGAAACCTAAAACTTTCAAAAACTGAACAAAATTTGCATGTGTCATGCATAAATTCTACTTTTGTCCATGTTTGCGTTTTTTCGTCACGATGTCACTTTAAATTCTACATGGCAAGGTTAGCCGAAATGATTTGCATTTTACTTAAAATAAGATTTGTTTGGAAAATCAGAAACATTAAAGTAAAATTTTAAAAGAGTGATGTAACCTCATTAATGTTGGGTTGATAACAAACTATGACTTTTGATTAGTTAAGAGATTCAATTCAGATTTCTAAGAAAGCCCAGATATTATCTGTCGTATCCTAACGTACACTGTAAATGCATAGCAGTTAAAAAAAATCATGATCCTCATCCGTTATGCATTATGAGATTCTCTTTTACATCTTTATTTACACCAGTAGTAACCATGTCTTTTTATTAAGCACTCCCATTATCATTTATGTTTTCTTCTCAATTAGGTGTGATATCATGCGGGAATTTGTCTATAATTTAGTTATAATAGTATATATATATATATATATATATATATATATATATATATATATATATATATATATATATATATATATATATATATATATATATATATATATATATATATATGTACGTATTTTTTTTTTATTTGCTCATGCATATTTGTTAAATGGTTCGAGACTAAAACATAAAGAATAACATTGTTTCTCTTTTCATCATCGAGATCTTTTTTTCTTCTTTTTTTTTTGGGGGGGGGGGTAAATAACTTCGAAGTGCAATATTTAATATCAAATTGTGTACATAATTATATATTTATGTAAATGAAAAATATTCTGTCTGTTTTATATTCTAATTACATGCTTCAGTTAATCTAAATAATATGTGTGTGTACAAATTTAGAACAATCTTGGAATAGTTATGGAGAGAACCTGTAAAGATTCAAAGATTTTAGTACGATGTTGCATGTAATTCTATTCTTATTTTCAATAAACATTGATAAATTTAGAATAAATCTTTTAAACTATATTTATTATGTCTTTTATATTAATTAAGGATTGCCTCTAAAGCTAATATCGATTGAAAGGGAAAAAATCAGCTTTATGCATCTTTAAGATTTTGTACCATTTTTTAGTGATTGAATGATTACTGTGTTTTCCTCTTGAAATCAGGGAAATAATTGTATTTTTGTGTTGGCGATTGAATATACTCATTAAGTAAATATTAACACAGGCAAAGAAACAAAACTCCCAAAAAGTATATGTTGGTTTAAAATAACATTTCATATGTACAAAGATTACGACATAATATAGATTCATTGTGCATGTTGTTAGAACATGCAGCATAATTTCTCTATATTGACTTCATATTCAGAATGTTTTCAATGGTATCACTATAATTCAGTCATATGCACCTTTAGAACAATTCGTGTTTAAACAAATATTTTTTTCTTAGGTAAATGTAATACGAGCAGCTAACTGGGAAGGCATTAATCAAAGTTGATTAATTATCTCCCCTTACGTTTCAAGAGATACATGTAGGAATAGACTTAAGTTGTTAGAAGAGGAAAATGAGTGATTTCCAGTCAATTATACAAATAAAGACATTTTACGACCCTTTTATTTTATTTTTATTATTAATACTAATACGTTTGAAATTGTGTGTTTTGATCAGAACATGAAAAATTTCATTTTAATAGAATATTTATTTTGTAACTCGCTTTAGGCTATACTATGGGTTATCAAGAATTTAAATTTAAACTGCTTTACATATCAATGAAATTTTACACGTTTATTAAATCCCGTCTTTTCTATTTACAAAATTAATTATAAGACAAATGCTTTATCTTTAAATAAATTATGAATGTTTTCGTCAGCAGTGGTATTATTACGCGGCGCAGCCTCAAAATACAAAGTATTTCTTCCTTGAGTCAAAATTCAGGCAGATCATTTGATATGAACATTTGACACCCAATGTTTAGGATAATTCACTCATGTGATGTGAAAAAAATTGTCCCCTTAAATAACAATTATAACCTTATATTTTAGTTCTTTGTGATACATGTATTAACATAAATTCCATGGAGAATGTTAAAAATATACTACTGAACCACTGGGTCAGAAAAGCTAAAGCTTTTGTGGAAGCATCCTGGGGTAGTGTAGATTCAAAATTGTACAAATCATGACCCCCATGAGTAGGGTGGGGCTACAATAGGAAATCCAAGTTTTACATTGAATTATGTAGAAAAAATATTTAAAAAAATTTCTTCTTAAGAACCACTGGGTCAGAAAAGCTGAAACTTATTTGGAAGCATCCTGGGGTAGTGTAAATCTATTCTTAATTATTCAAATCATGACCCCTAGGGGTATAGCGGGACCACAATAGGTGTTACAGGGGGAGGGGGGAATCAGGTGAAGAACAGCAAATTTAAAGATACTCAGGTGACCATTGTGGCCCATGGGCCTCTTTGTTGTAAAATGTTACATTGATAAATCGGAAAAGTCATGGATAAAACATTTACTATCAATATCCATTTTAAAGACTTGAATGAGTCTTCAATGAGTCTAAGGAAGCACTCCACCAGGACGTCATCATGTGACATCTATAAATAGAAAAAAAGATGCCTTAATGAAAAAGTGAAAAGTTCAACTCTATCCCGGGGATAATAAATTTCTATTTGTATAAAAAGTTATGTAAAATCATCTCTTGGCCATGAAAAGTGCTGCTAGAGCATACACCCCTACCATAGAAATAATTATATCACACTTTCGGATTAGACCTTTCCATTCTTTTTACATTTTGTACATAAGTTCGAAAAAAATTCATCAATTCCCATAAACACCCGATTCTAATAGCGCATTCCAAATACTATAGAATAAAAACTTTCGATATAATCAAAAATTATACTTTAAAGTATGCTGCGTAATGTTGAACTTTTGCATCTTTGTTGTTACGAACGACAGAGGAAAGGCTGATTGGGTTGTAAAACACTGCCTCCCATCTTGATATGAAGAAATTGTAAAATAAATCAGCATGCCTTATTTGTAAGCTTTAATTCCGCATGAATCCCACACGATATTCATGTTAAATGCTCCTAAACTCTGATTTCATATGTTTGTTAACCTGAATTCTTGTTCCGTTTCATTTTCACTCTGCAAATATTGATCAATAGTTATGACTTTATTGGTTTGGTACTTCACCCCATGACGAAAACATAGCTAATTATACCACCCCAGAAACGACAATATTTTGTTTATATTAAGATTTTGCATGATTCCAAATATAGATTTTAACACATTGTTATCTCAAAAGTTCACGTCATATTGAGTAAGTAGGTAGAATATCTCGATGTAGCCTTAACTTACCCGCGCCACCAGGACACCAGCAATTATCTTCCAAAAGATGCGTAAAATATAAGAGTTCTACAGCAATTTTAATCTAAAACAGTTTATGTATGAAAGTATGAATTTATTACAAATTTACTTATTCGTAGGAACATTTTAAAGTTGCTGGACTTAAATATTGTATCGACAGCTAGCAACTTTTGATTTACGTTACATTGTTATGAAAGAAGGGGCAAACGTCCTATAACTTTTCTCCACAAAGTATATATAAAGGTGTGTATTTCTATTTTAGAATTAGACGTTATTAAACTGATTCGAAAGGGAAAATACAACATTATCCCATCCAAGTAAAATTTTTATCTCAATTAGTCTGGAGAAAAGATCTATAAATAAAAGATTGTTTTCCTGTTATGTTTTTATTCCAGTAGTAATATTAAATACTTAAAAGCAGGAAACTTGACGAGGAAAATTTAAATAATTCTTGACACAGCTCAGTTTTCAATGAAATCTCTTTTAATCTGATAGTTGAATGCAGGATATCCTTGATTATATAAATACTTATCAGAGTTGGAATTTTATTTTTCATCACTATTTTTTGGAAATTCAGAAAAAAAAGGAAGTTAACAATGTACCTTAGCAATGTGATTTTGATTCAATATGTAATATTTGTTACCAGTTTCAGCTTCTTTGCGCAGCTGTTTATGAGGGAAAATTATTTTAGAATATCAAATTAAACAGGCCTCAATATTGTAAAAAGATCAAAGAAATGGTTTGGTACCTTAATATTGTAGATATAGCCTCTTAGATTTCAAGATAGTCATGTCTGCTTCTATGTAGAATGTAATGAAAGAAGCGTGCTGAACAATTTTAAGGTTATCAAAGCAAATAGTAGTTATCATTTTCTATTAAATTATCCTTGATAGTAAAGTTTACTGCAGTTTATTTCAGGACTATACGTCATTTGATATTGAGTAACGTTGCAGAAATTTAACTCCGATATTGATCCAAATTTCATCTCAAACATTTTTGCTTTAACTGAATTCATTGAATTTACCTTTTTTGGACTCAGTTTGGTCAAGGGTATTTAATTTCTGAACAAAATTCTCATTGACAAGATTTTGGCCAGATTGTCTATTTTAACTAAG